AAAATTCCATCGTGCTTTGTTTTGTCGTCCAAACCAGAATACCTTTTGTCCGTATTGACTTATAAAATATGTGCCAGCATCTTTTACATTATGATCATTGTCATCATATGCCCACACACCAAATAAATTACATGCAGTACCTTCAATAACTAGTTCTATTTTTATTAGGTCTTTTTCACTATCTGTAAATTGAATAGGATCGTTTAGAACACGAAAGCATGTATACGGTTGCAATAGTACTTCTTTTTCTGATGGATAATTGAATATATCTTCTATGTTGGAGCATACATGGGAAAATCTTCGTGGTATATTAATACAAAAGACAGCAGTACATCCATTCCATTTAGTTGCTATTTTTAACTCTTTAGTGCAAGATGTAAAACCTGTCCAATAAAATAACAATCCTTTCTTATATGCCGATGATGATGTAGATTCTAAATCCATGCCACGATACACGACGCCATAATAATGTCTTTTAGGTTCTTGTAAACCTCCTAATAAGCTATATATATATATGTGGAGAAAATAATAATAAAACTTCTTTTTCATCATTTCTTAATGCATTATTTAACTGGACGTATATACATGACTGAAATGTGTATATTTTAATTGATATTTCATTATAAATGAGACGATGTTCGCTACCATATAATTCAGCTAATGTACTATAGGTTTCATCATATTTGTATAGTATTTGACGAATTAATTGTTGTGCACTACTTTGATAATATTTGACAGGATAGTCCAATATTTCTTTATAAAAACCTTGAATTGTCCTTAAATAAGTTAAAGTATTACCTGGTACAATACGAGGATCATGAGCAAGATCTCGAAAGTCGACTTCTAGAGATTTTTCTACAGCCATGAAATTGAAGAGATATTTTTGATTCAATAAAAGAAGAATCTAAAAATAACAAGATAAATCTATCACATCGTTCTGATTTATATTTCAATGTTACGCACTTTTACAGTAGTTATTCTCAGACGTTGAACCAAGAAAAACATACAACTTTAACTAAAGTGATCTCTTGTAAGCGTAAATCTTTGGTATCAAAAAATAATTTCGAGAAGTGCGTCATTTAGTTCAACTTTTCGCATTTGTATATCGATTTTCATAGAAATATATAAACACGTGTCAGCTATAACTATAGTTTCATAAAGAAACACTCAACATGAGCACTGTCACACATGCAGAAAATTAGAGATGTAGTCTAAGAGATATGCTCGTTTCATAAGAAGAGGCACTGTCACAGTGTGTGAGAAAATGCAAGAAATGCGTTCCAGGAAATTGAAAATCAAACAAAAATGAATTTAGATGACTTGATTTTCAAACGTATTCAATTAATTAAGCAAGCGAAAGAAATTACAATATGAGTAATTTAAATTAATACAATGAACAACACAAATACTTTGAATGTGCTTGAAATCTGAAATTCTAAAAAATAATTTACATTAATTTTTTTCGATTTCCGATTTTCTGAGTATAGAGCTTAACATACTGAAAATTTTCTGCAGCGAAGTAATCTCGAAATATTTTGATGATTTCATACAATGTTACTTCTATTGATCTGAGCGAAATCAAGTGAGATTACGCGTCCAGTCCACATGGAATAAATGCGTAACAAAGTATTTTTAAGGCTCTCGGCGAAACATCTACTTAAAATCAGGATCTTGAATATAAGTATTCTAATTGTTCTAGCGTGATAGCCAAAACTCTGAGCTATCAGTTGGCGAAAGGATATTAGCAAACAAAAATCAGGAGCGTCCACAAATTTTGTTTTTAGTGGTCTCAAACATTTTGACTGGCCTTATCCATTTACTCTGAATGAGACAAATGTATAATTCGAAAACAGTCCTAAGAAAAATTCCGCATGACTAGATGTCATAAGGAGATTTCGAAAGACAAATTTCACAGATCGATAGAGGAACGATTTTTCTATCTAGTTTGTGAAGAAAGTTTTTTGAAATATTCAAAAATGAAAAAAAATATATTTTATAAAACTTATTATGCGATTTTTATACGCATTCATCCTTCTTATTTCAACATCTTGTGTCATGCTTTGGATACTCACCTACGTCTATTCACTTTTCACAAGTAGACGTTTGTCGTGAAACGAAAAATTGAAAGTGTTTTATTGCTTTCCTGCGCAGTGACAATAAAAACAATTTTCTCGCACCTCTCTCACTGAATGTATTGAAAGTAAAATTAAATTTTTTCGAAAAAGAACAACCTGATCGATACTTTAATGGCATCTATTGTTTGATCAACACTCCGTTAGTGTGCGAGTTTTGGCTGTGGGTGTGAGTGTGAGCGAAGATTTTTCACTGTCATCCTCATCCTCACATGAATGCCTACATCCGCACCCATTCTAATCTAGAATAGAGTCTCATTGCTATTATTTCATCAGATTGGCTCATAAAAATCCCCACAAGCGACTATAAATTTCAACTATTGAATGTTCTAAATTAATGGTTGAAAATCTTATTTCATTTCGATTTCTTTTATGTATTCAGATAATTCTTTCCTTTTTTCAAATAAACCTTCAAAACAAAAATAACTGATAGAATACAAGAAAAATAATAATATCAATTCATGTATTATTGAACGATTCCCCTTTAAAACACTTCATTTCAAATGAATCTACTAGATGAAATTGACCCGTTTTGTATTCTGCTTATCAGGCATTTATAAAAATAGTCATAAAACTTCATTTTTTTAGATTCTTTTTTAATCTCATACCAACTGATGACAAACATGAACGACTACTCGTATAGATCACATGATCGTTTATTACATGTTTCAACTGTATTGGAACAGAACTATAGTTTCGAAGACTCAGACGTTCTCCTCCAGATAGATGTTGTCTGCATTCTCAACCTTTTCATGTAGCAATGCAGAGTGTGGGTGTGGGTGTGGGTATGGATGTTTATCGTCTCTTCACTCATATCCATACCCACACCCACACCGCACGCCCGAGATGAATATCCAAGTCACATCACCCATACAGAGTTCGAACATCTATTTCTGCTCCAAAAAAAACAATACTTCTTTAGTAAAATTTTCATGACTTGAGTTCCAAACGTTGCACGAGCCGTATTTTAATTTCTGAAATAAAGCAAACAGTGCTCTATTGACTGATGAGTAATTTATTGAAAAAATATTCGTCTGATGTTTTATGGTTGATAATGATTTGTCGATTAGCGACACTCGATATACGATCGACATAAAAAGTAAGACACAATCGAGTTTCAACTCTAAGTAGTAGTCAATAGTTTTTGTATTTATTGAAATCAGTTGTAAATTTATCAAATACACGTACATAGCGAACGAAGTTGGTAACTAAATCAATGATAAAAAGAATAAGAATAATTATAAAAAAAAAATGAAATGGTAATAAACAATAATTAAGAAGTGTATAGCAATAAAATCAACATAATATGGAGTACTAATGACAAAAAAAGCTCTATCCAAAAATACAAATGTAAATAAAATAGAGTGTTTCCCTCTCACATTCGACTATCATTGGAGAACAATTGTCGTTTATTAGAAATTCTTAACTATATATGTTTTGTATCAATCAGAGCTGCCAGCCTGATCTAGTGGCCAGGCAGGTACCTACAGGCCATCAGACCAGGCCAGGTCGAAGTTTTTGGCCTGAATGATATGTAGCATAATTTTTGTATACTAATTGATTCTGATTGGAATTAGTATTATAGATTTAAAATACTTTGATAAGTTTGCTGAAGTTAAAGATTTTTAACTCTGATAATCAAAGTTAAGATAACATGCTTGAATCATAAAATAACCATATGTCGCATACCTTAAATACCATCATGTTATGGAAGTCTTATTGTACACAGAATTATGAACGTATCACTTCACTCTACGTTGTGATGAATGACACTAGTGTATATTAATGATATCAACTTATTTTATACTAGTTTAGTTTGAACTGCAAAGAGTCAAAAATATCTAACTCTGAAAGTGTAACTCAGCTCGAAGAATCATATATATTATTGATAGTAGATGATTCTTTTTAACGAATTCGTTCTGTCTGCCGTTTTACGTGAGCTTATGATTGAGTTAGATTGTCTCTCAGACAAGGAGAATGAATACAGAACAGAAATTAAGCTAACTGATAATGCAAATCAAATTGATGTCATTGAGTAGATAAAGATAACAAGTAAATGTTTCTCACCGATATTAGTAATGACTCTCTGTTTTTCGGTCTGTAAGATTTCTTTCTGATGATAAATATTTCTTAATACCGTAAAACAATGGTAATGAAATTAGAACTGATTTGAAACCATAGTTTTTTTTATAGATAAGACCTTTTTTTGTGTGTGTAGTTCACTATGCTTTGATTTTCTATTTGATAGAAGAATTTATTATTTTATGATCTTAACTGAGAAGGATTGAATATAAGATCGAGATTGACGTAAAGGAATAGACACTGTCCGTAGCATATTGTCAAGAAGGAAACACCGTGTTTTTGTACTTTAAAGAACACAAAGTATATCGAAGTACAGAGTATTTTATGAATAGATGTTTAAATTCAAACACTATTGAATGATCAGCTCTACCAATCAATCAATATCCCCAGTATCTTCTATACCTCCTATACTTCCTTATACCTCCTCTATCTTGATAAACAGGAAACAAAAGAGTTGCCCAGAAATTCAAATGAATTTCGTGAAAATTCAACTAAAGTATCGTGCGAACTTTGACATTATTTTCATCTGATTCACTTTTTGATCTTGTGTTACATGTTTTCGACGGTAGTTATGTCGATGTACGGATAGCTGAAACTCTTGCATAATTTTATGAACATTGACAAAATCAAGTAGTGAAGAATAAATGACTGGTATTTTCAATCAACGTGTTCGATTCAGAATGTAGAATCATGGTTCGAGTTAGAGTACAAACTCAAGGAGAAGAATAGATAGAAATAACAAATTCAAAAAAACTTCATTATTTATAATATACGTGCCTAATTTCGGAATAAAAAAATGAAAAGTGATCAACTCTCTCTCCCATAATAGAAACCTTCCGACAGACTGCTTCATAGTAAACTTTGTCTTTTTCCAGCAAAAAACTTCCATTTATTTGGTAAAACACAATAGAAGAGTCGGATCTTCTATTGCAACGACCGAGAGAAAAAGGGACTTAGTAAAAATCATATTATTCGTAAAACTATGAAATGAATAACTACAAACAATAATAAAAGAATAAAAGAATTGCTTTTGTTCAAGTATAGCATATAAGTCGAAAAAATGTTTCATTTCCTATGTTATAATGATTTTATTTCATAAAAAACCGACAAAAACTTTTCTCCGCATACGCTTTACTCTACTTCTTGTGGCTATTTACCACTTGGTTTTTCTACTCGGAAAAACAAGAAGCAAATATAGAGAATATATTTTGTTCTAGTATAAGATTAGTTTACAATCTTCTTAAATAGGATGATCTTACTATCCTTGGTCTCATCAGGAAAACTTCATTAGGTGATTATATTCGAAACTATTGGATAAAATTTATGAAAAATTTAGAAATATCATCTGAAGGTGTAGACTTTCAACAAACAACTAATGCTTACTTTACTGCTACTTCCCTTCCAAATACGTATTATAAAAGTTGCGGTTTTAGAAAAAAAAAACGCAAAATTCCCAAAAAGACTAGCCGAGAGAACGTAAGTACGAAGTTGGATTATCTCACTTTTCTCTACGTTGGAAAGCAGCAATATCAAATATTTAAAAAAATCCTCTAGTGTCCCTGAATTGATTATTCTTAAATACTTCTCACATCCACCATAAATTTTCTCTCACGATCTTATATGTCATATAAACTTGGGAATAAAAACAAGAAAAATGTAAACGGTTCCTATTCAAATTCATTGCAGTCGTTCTTTTTTTCTTTCCTTCCTTCTTCTTATACTATCTATTGCTGTTAATTTAACACTATTTTATGTTATTACCTTATTAACCTTTTAAACGAACAATAAATCCCTCTCAATGTTAAAAAAAAATGGTTTTATTTCAGCTAGTTTAAACACATTCAACTTTCAAACTATTTTCTTTTATTCAAAAAAAAGAAAATTTCTAATAAGAAAAAACATTTATAATAAAGGAAAATATTGTTGAAAATGTTTTGGTCGAACAAACGGCTTATTTATATGAAGTCCTTTTAATTTCGCACAATGAAGACGTGTTGCATTATTAGTAAAATTGTTTGTTACCATTATGAGTGATTCATATTCGATGCAGAGATCCAACAGACAAGGTAGATCAGTCTTTTTATCAGAAAGAAATTGTTCAGCATAATCAACATGTGTCATAACAAGATTGAGAAGAATAAGATGAGGAAATCTAATCAATGTCGATGAATGTTGCTTGTCTGTTTGTGCTTCACGGTTACATATAATCAATTCTTTAAGATAAGGAAAATTTTCAGAGATTTTTTTGAATAATTGATATTCAAAAGGACGTATATCATTCATCTTTAAATATTGAACATTATCAAACATGCCACCTTGAAAAGAATTGTTCAAATCGAGAAAATATTTGAATGAATATGGAAGTGAAAAGATATGGGATCTGCCGCCACCCCTTACATTCAATTCAGGATAGACAAGAGATCTGCGCACGATATTTATTGATTTCGGAAAGACATATGAACCAACTTGTCCATATCCTTTTCCAATAAAACTACGTTGAATGTATTCATTTGATGAAAAGTCAATATCAATATTCTTTAGTATAACACTTGTGTTTATACTAAAAAGAAATTTGTTTAATTTCGGCATATAAATAACAACTTCATCATATAATTGATGACCATCAATAAAATTGGAATCAATTCTTACTACTGTTAGAAATAATATCAATTCTTCCAGATTTATCATTTGATGAAGTAATTGAGTAATGCGTTCATCATAAACATGTGTATAATTAATCGAAGTTAGTGAGAAGCACTTCAGTTTAGGAAGTTGTTTCTATAAAGAAACAAAAAATGTTTTGTTTTTTTTATTTAATTTAATATTCCTCCTAAAAACAATGATTGAGATGACACTTACCAAATTGTTAATATTTGATCGTTGCTTGTATTTAATTTGTTTGACATTGATAATCAATTTCGTTAAGTTATCCAAATATCCATCAAGCAAATCAAGACAATCATCAAAAATTGAGACATTTATTTTTAATTCAACTAAACTTGATGATATATAACTTGTTCGCGATAATTCAGAAATATAAATCGATGAATCTCGATAAGAAAACAATTGACAAAAATTCAAATGTGTTAATCGTTTACATAAAGATAAAATCAATAAAAATATATTTGATGAAATTTCAGATAATTCTGATCCCATCTCATTCTGAATATCGACATTTAGATGTGTAATTTGATTTTTAAGATTATGAAGAATTGAATAATCTTTAAAGATGAAAAGTTATTTTATTAATTAAAACAAACAAAATTATGTATTAACAGTAGTATACCTGTTAAATATTTAAACAGAATTTCTTCTTTAAAATTAACCAATGTTAAAAAATAAAGTTGGGGATAATTGATGGTAAGAATACGTTCTATTGAATGTTGTTCAACAGTAAGTTTAGTTACTTGATTATGAATTCGAGGTAAGATATTGTCACATATTCTTGAAAGAATTTTATCATCTATTGAAAAAGTACGATCATAAAATGATTTCATGTTCATAATAGTCATATCAAGATTATGAATATAAAGAGGATCAACTACTAATTGAGCAAATCGTTCATTAATGTCCATAAGTGAATAAACAACATCACTAATATTCAGTTTATTGATAATCATCAATAAGATTTCTACGGGCAGATTGACTATATTTAGATGATTGTTATTAGGAATATTCATGTTTAAACCATTATACTATTAATTCATATCAATTTATATATGTTTGCATTTTCTCATTACCGTCTGAGAGAACAATGACGAATAAATACTAGTGTCATCATATTTAAGCGGTCAAACAGACTGAAAAAAATTGAGGGTGAATTAAGAAATATGATTGGTGTTGCCCCTTGGAAACAACAATCATATTTCTTAATTCAGCTTTTTTTGTAGTCTGTCTGATCCCTTAAACGATAATGAACGGTTCATTAGATTTTTCTTTGTGTATAACATTTTTCATTATCCATTAGATCATTCTTCTGTTTGTCATGTATTATGCTCTTTCAAACACATTATATGTGGCTTTCAACACTTAAGAGGTGAATCGACCTTTCAATAAACACTAGCTTTAATAAAAAAAAAACACATTATATGATGTTTAAAATATAACATAAAGTATGTCAATAAGACATTAGAAATGTATTCACACATTGTCAAGCGTATCGTCAGAGGTGCAGAAAGGAAAATTTTTTAGAAATATTTTTCTCCGACTATAAAACTTGATTAAAGATTCTTTTGGAAAATTAAAAATTGTAAAACTTTTCTCTGAGAGAGAAAAATCGCAACCCTAGAGAAAGTACTGAGTTCAGGGTACCCATGTACTGAGAAAGCCTCAGCAGGGTACCCGATATGGGTACTTCGAAAATTTTCAGTAATTATACTGACGTAGGTGCTGCATTGGGTACCCATTGCAGTATGTTTACTGAACAAGTACTTGCATGAGTACTCGCACCTGTAATTTTACTAGAAAAAGCTCTACAGGGTACCCTAGATTTGTTGCGTTCTGTGTAGCAACTGTTCATTCACCGTTTTCTTTTGCATATACGGCTTCATATAAGCAACTCGAGGAAGCATAAGAAAAAAATATTTTTTCATACTAATTTTTTCTAGATTATTTTTCTTGACTATTTACTAGTCGAGGACATGCTGATCTCAATCGTAGATTGAGAGAGGACTACCTTGAAGTGGTCTGATGGAGATCCGACCAGTTCGTGTCCAGTCAGATCTCGAAATTTGACCTGCTTAGCTTTTCAGAATTAGAAAAATAAAATAAAATAAAATCGAGAAAATATCATAAATTGTTTTGAGAGAAACAAAAATGAAAAAAAGCCAGAGGTTAGTTTCGATCATCAACATACTGCAAGTTTGGCAACAGGGTACCCAAATTTACTGAACAATAGTACCCAGTTGGGTACTTGATCAGTACCTTCAAGTACCCATTTACTGGATGCTTTCCAGCAGGGTACTTGGTCGAGTACCTTATAGGTACCTAAAAGTACTTTAAGGTACTTCAGTACCCGAAAGTTCCTGTGACATACTAGTAGCAGGGTACTTTTTCGGGTACCCTTAGCTCAGTACATTCACTAGGGAATACATCATAATAAGTGAGCAATTTTGATTTTCTATCTTTGAAGCATTTAACAATTATTTTACATTTTAATTTTCATGCTAATGAAAAGAGAATGAAATTCTCTAGAAAATCGCTGACGGTTTTTTTTTCGAATAGATTTTTCACATGAAGGCAAACACAGTGAGATTAATATCTATCCAATCAGACAAGTGCAAAAGCCAAAGAAGCGAAATAATCATAAAAAACTTGTAGAAATAAATCTGCTTAAATTTCAAATATGTTGCAATGTTCGATATAAAATCTACATTTTTCAGTGTGGATTTCATAGTGTTAGAAAAAATACTTGCAAGGAAAAATTTTCGATAGGAAATGTTAAAACACCAAGAAAAAAGTTGAATCGGAAGAAATCTGAGTGATTGTTTTTGTTTGATTGAAAGTAATCTAAATATTTCAACTGTTCAAGTGTACATATCTACTATATTGTTTAGAATTTATTTGTGCATACGATAGGATAGAAGTCAATATTTTATAGGAGAAATTTGCCTTATAATAACGCAACTTTTATTTTTTTGAGGAAAATACTTAGATCCATGCTAAGATCGTCAGTAAATGGAGTGAAACATTCGTTAGTTGTTGATGTACAACAGAGACCGTTACAGGGCAAGACCACCCTACTACGTTGCCATGCACTGATCTGCAGCGCAAACTTTTATTTGTACACCTGTTCTGCTAGCCCTGCAGGACACATCAGTGGTGGTGGAGCCATTGAGGTCCGTGAGGCTTGAGTCTCATCTGATTTCTAGCTATAGAGACCCAACCTCACTTGATTTCGGAAGGGTGTAGGTGTGAGTGCGTGTTGATGGAAGGATCGACACCCACACCCACACCCTTCGTGAACTTACTAAATTAACTGGTTTGCAATCAATGTTAAACAAAGAAGATTTTAATTGAATTGATCAAAATATACTTAATAAATTGAAAGTGTTCATTTCAAACATATAGAACCTGTAGTTAGTTGTGATTTTTCCGACCATCTTGTCATTAAAACTATAGATTATTATGACATCCAAGTAAGAATGAAGAGAATCTTGTTTATTTCCGCGTTGAGTTTGAAAATTCAAATATTTAATAATTGGAAATGCAGTAGAGTGGAACGGATTATCTCTATAAGAGTCTAGACATGGTACTGCTCATGTCTAGAGTAGTCACCATGGATGTGTGACTATGAATGTCAACATGTATGTGAGAGCTAGAAGGTTCGAATCTAGACGCCATTCTCCTCTATACTATGTAGTTTTGGATAAATTATTGAAGACTAGAATCAATTGATCATAGACTGACCAATATTCGAGAAGTTTGACGAAATAAAACCAACCATAACTTGATAAAGAAATTCTAATCATGTGTAAATTGACAATTTTCTTTCATTCTTAAAATCCTTCTAATCGACATGAAATAAATGTTCGAATTTTCTAATTGATAGTATACTATGACAAATTTGACATTTTGGATCAATACATTCAACATTATTAGTTAAATTTGCACACTTATCATGTTGATCACTACGAATGTCATCAAATTTGTATGCTGCATCTGAACATGTACCAGCTATATAACGATCTGTTAGAAAACTTCAAATACATAAATGTATACAAAATTAGAAAAAAATATGGAAACAAGTTCTGTACCGTTGACAAGTATCACAATATAATTGTTCAACGTTATTATTGAAGTCATCTATAAATTTTTTTATATAAATCAAAATATTTATCACAAGTTTCTTGTGGTGTATATTTCGGTTTCAATGCTTGTGCTTCAGTCGCCGTGCTATATTCATCAATACCATAAATATATAAAGTATTGTAATTTTTCAACCGACAATATCTTAAACTTAATATTAACAATGAAAAAATAGATAAGAAATTGTTTGATTTTACCGAGCAACAAAATATTAGCATTTAACAAAGATCCAGTAAGAATATCTAAATGAGATACATTGTTGACAAAAGATAAAGTACGTGTCATCAGGGCACTTCGTACGGGATTAAAGTGTGAAACATGACGTAGTTACTGTTGTTAATCACAAGGAGATTGTTTTATTCAGTCTAATTTAGAAGAGATTTCTTCATCATTCTGTTACTTGATGTTCCAGAAATGCAATAAGGAAGTAGTTAACTAGACGGAATTGAGAGACAGTCGTCGATTGTGTATTAACAAAGGATGTCACTGTCCTTGATAAAACGGAGAGACGAGTAAGTTTATAGCAGCTATATCTTAAAAACACATTTGTGCAGCTAAAGGCCTTCTCCATCAGTATTAGTAGGCGCGAAGGCCTCGATCAAAACCAAATTTCTTGTATCTGTTCAAAGTTTTTGAGAGAAAATTTTATTGGATAGAGCAAAATGAGATGTCTTCGACCTCTTCATGAACTTTCTTCATCGAACTGTCTTTCAGGCTCTCCGTGAATCGAAACAAGTCGATGAAGGAAGTACATGGAGAAATTGATGATGCCCTATTCTGCTCAATCAAATAAAATGTTTTCTGAAGATCTTAATACAAGAAGTTCTGTTGAAGTTTTTGAATCTACTACTATTTATAGAAAATTGTTTCAGTTACACAAATGTTTTATATTTCAACAAGAGATGAATCATTTCTTACTTGTTTTCATTCGATTTTGATTCATTGAGTATCGATAGTGTCTTTGATCATTGATTCAAAGCTTTCTCAACTTCTTCTGACTATCGATTAAAATCGATTTCTTCAACGGATACTTCTACAGTAGTCTAAAGTTTTTCATATACTATAAAACATGAGTCATTCATTTATCATAAAAATGCATTGTTTTCTTCTTTCTATTATCAGCCCTTGTGTTGCATCACACCTGATCACTAAACAAAGAAAAAAAATACTACGAACAAAAATAGTAATCCAGAAGATTATTCCGAAAAGTAGATTAATCATCGACAAGAAACAAAGGATAATAACATATCAAGTTTTCTGTTTTGAGAAAACAAAGATAGTCATTTCTTTATCAGTTTATACATTCATTGTAAAAGTATAGAAATCAAATGAAAGAATTAAAGGTAATTTTCAACAAACTTACGTTCTTGAATGGATTGTATAAATGACGACGAATCCTAATGATGAACAGTTTCGTAAATGGATCCTAAAAAAAAAAGAGATAAATGAAGTCGAAATTGAAAAAATATTATTAAATTCTTTTGGCAAATAGATCATATCAATCAAAATAGAACGAATAAAAATTCAACTTGAAACAACAATATGTTTTTCGAGTGAGATGATGTTCATTCAATGAGTAATAGAAAAGTTTAGAATGGTTTTGCTTTCCGGGCTTTCTTTACTTTTCAATAGAAATCTGTAGTCCTACTCAGATCAAATGAAAAATCGACTTTCGAATTCAAATTTTGCATGAACATGAAATTAATTCTTTGGACAAGTTGTAACTTTTCTAGTTCTTTTTTTCCTATCCTGAAATATTGAATATTCG